TCTGATCTAACAGTCGTTGCCATGGATGCCATCGACTCGCCGAGGATCCGAAGGGCTCGTTCTCGTGAAGCGTACAACATGCTGCCCTCCCCAATGTTGGAGTATGGATCTGCGAACTCGACGGCAAGAACGTTGAACGTGTCCAGGATGATTCCCACGTTTACACGATCCACCGCGCGGACAACCTCCCAGGCGGAAGCCCAGGTATTCCTGCGTGCCCAAGAAAGTGGTTCATAGCCGATACGTATCTGCTTTCCACCATCCTTCCTGGAGAACTCAGCGGCGAGATCTCCTAGCTCTGCCAAGTCTCTCACGACAGTCTGGAAGTCGGCCGTCGCAATCTTTCCGTCATCTGGCCGCATACTGCTGCACATGAAGACAAGATCGGTATCAAAAGCGCGCATAAATGGGAACCTGGCGGTAGCCCGATGCATCGCTGCCTGCCTGTCTCTGGGGTCCAGATTTCCTTCAATATTCCTCAGTGGCTGTGTGCAGGCGATTCTCATCCCATGAGACTCGATCAGCTCGCGCAACTGTCGCGCTGCATGGAGCTTTGACTCAGTAGCCTCCCAAGGATCAGTCGAATCAAGGCCATTCTCTGCAAGGTACGCCGCCCAGTCCTCGTCAAAAAGGTCAATGACGTCAAAGCCAACTTCTGCAGCTGCCTGGATGCGATCTTGGAGTTTGTGCTTTGTAAAGTGGCCCAGTGACAGTGTTGCAATGCCGAGCTGATTTGGAAGCGAGTGGTGAGGCATCGTGAAATGAAATGTGGGATGAGGGAATCAGTGACGTTGAACAGGAATGTTATGGTAGTTCTTGTACAACTTTATCTCCTAGAGATGACCTTTTTAAAGGAACTGCTCATATTTTCCCAGGATCATTGAGATGTGGGAAACATTGCATCATGAGGGACAGTGTCGAAAAGGGACGCCGTCATTGGCGGACTCTGTCGGCCCCGATGTTGATCTTCCCGATGTTATTGCCGAGGTCGCTTTCGGATGTAGGTGTAAGATGCATGAGATGTCTACTATAAGTTGGCGATGAAATGAGAGTAGACCTTTTGACAAATACAATTCTGTTATTAGAGACCATGGCGCCCACCCCGGAGCGAATTGAGACTGATATTGTCATCATTGGTGGAGGCATGTCTGGCCTCTCTGCAGCCATCGCCCTGAGTGAATCTTCCCAGGTTAGATGTGTCCTGGTCGATAAGAGCCATGTTCTCGGTGGCTCCTCGAAGTTGTAAGTTGACCAGATTGTTCTATGCTTGTTGACTGACACCATGACTAGGTCAGCGGGCATGTTCTGGGCGCCCAGGGACACCAGAATTGCACAGGAAACGATCCCCTTTGCAGATCCCGAGCTCTTGAACAAGTTCATCACTGAATATCCGGATGCTGTCCAGTGGATGCGGGATAACGGAGTTCAGACACACGACCAATTCAACGGCATCATGACAATTGGTATTGGCTTTCCCATCAACATTCCGCAATGGCTTGCCAAAGCAGAATCCATCATTACCGCCAACCCAAAGGCAAAAGTTCTACGCGAAACGTCAGCTGTTGGCCTTACTCAAGAGACCCCGGGAGCTACTGGGAATCGAATTACGGGAGCTGTGCTACGCAAGAATGATGGCACACTTGTGTTGTGTTCAGCCAAGGCCGTCATCATTGCTACTGGTGGCTTTCAGGGTAGCCCACAGCTGGTTGCGCAGCACATTGGACAAGGAGCGGACACCATATTCACCCGGTCAAATCCGTACTCTACCGGCGATGGCTTCAAGTTGGGCATACAAGCTGGAGCTGGAACCAGCCGTGGTCTCTCGACATTCTACGGCCATTTACTTCCATCGCCGCTAAAGAGACAAGATGTCGATCCTTCCAACTTTATTCACCTCGCCCAGTTTCAGTCCGGATACTCCATCCTCGTGAATCGTGACGGCCGGAGGTTCTGTGACGAGACATACGGCGACGAGGTCAACAATCAGGAGCTGGCTCGTCAGCCGGGTCGCGTTGGGTACATGATACTCGACAACGAAGTCCGGATGCGTTGGGCACTTGGAGAAGTATTTCCAAATGCTGGAAGGATCGATCGTCTTGAGAAGGCAAAGGCTTTTGGGGGGCGGGTTGCCAGCTCCGAGACAGTTGGAGAGCTTCTAAAGCATATGTCCGACTGGGGCGTTCCACTACAGGCATTGCAACACACAATCCGCCAATACAACCGCGCGGTAAGAGGCAAAAACGACGAGATCCTTGATGCCCCAGTCGGTAGTAACCACGAGCCTCATGTGACGTTTGAAGGGACCGAGAAAGGTCCATACTGGGCGCTGGAGGTCCAGCCATCAATTACGTTTACATACGGTGGGCTCAAGATCGGCAATTCATCTCAGGTTATAGATAATGATGCGAGAGCCATCCCCGGGCTTTTCGCGTGTGGCATGGACGCTGGTGGCTTTTCGAACTGGAGGTATGGCGGTGGGTTGGCTCAGGCCTTTGTGACAGGACGATGGGCTGCAAAAGCGGCACTAAATGTGACGGACGTGAGCCAGGCAAAGTTATGATCATTGATGGGCGCACTAAGTAAATCAATATTTGCAAGAGGCTGCACTCATGATAGTTGCTGTCTCTTAACCATTTGAACAAAGCTATATGGCACAGATTGATCCACTGACACTCTCATCCTTTCCACCAAAACAGCTGCAGATATGTGCTCGTGTGTAATGATGCGCCACCCCGAGGCTTTTGCTGCAGTCATGCCTGGATCTTTAGGAGAGCCCCACGTATCCAAATAGATGGCCCTTCTTCTGTTCTGCCTCCTAGCTATCATTGTAACTAGTGCAGCAAGAATGGTCCTGTCATGGGTTGGTGACATGCAAAAGACTCCTGCAGGGTTAAATGAATCATTTAGAGCCTTGATGTTTAGTGACAGTAAGTTATTGCTGATGTTCGGGGCAGCGAATCCGAGGGCCCAAACTTTACTGCAATTCAGGGACATTAGGACTGAGATGATAGTTCTGGCCTCGTCCCACGAATTGCTCATGACGAGAAATTCTCGCTTTTCAAATGACGAAGGAGTATTCTCTTGAAGTAAAACAGCGTTCAGACCATTTGCGTGGCAGCTATGGCCAACCATTTGGCCATGTCTGACAGCCACCGTGTCCACCAAGCCACTATCTGTGAGGTCAAAACGCTGAGAGGCCAGATTCGAGAAGTCAGAAAGCTGACCGAATACTACACTATCAGTATCTGGTTCCTTCAAGAGGCTTTGGATCAATGCGTCCGGTTTCTGGCCCGTGACAGTCACTCTATGGGGGAGGTTCAACTCGTTGAAGCATTTATCCATCAAGGAAGCATCCGAGTGTTGCCCCTGAAAGAAGTATACCGTCTTTGTAACGAGCTCACCAAGCACCGAAAGAACACTGTGCACAAGTCTTAGAATTTGCCCACCGAGAGCGATTTAGGTCATACCCATTTGATTCTACCAGCGAAAGCTGATCTCGCGCACTCGAGCTCGGAAGTAGATGGTGGGTAGTAGCTTGCAAGAAAGGATTTAAAATTCTAGAAAGTTTTCCAGACGTTCCCGTGTTGAAAGCAGCTAAGGGTTTATTGCCATCAAGACTGTTCATCCTGTCTCGGAACTGACGAATCTTGGAAGCATCACTAAGGTCAGTGGAGATTCCGGCCATGAGGACCACATCGCCATAAGATGCGCAAGTGTTGTATACTTGGTCGGTATCTGAGGACGACCAGTCAAGGCCGCCGGAGAAGTCGTGATGGGATGCAATGACCTTCGTATGGCCTTTTTGGGACACCAACAAGTTTCTGAGGTCGATATCGAGCAAATCCTCAACATCGATAAAGTCAACACCCCACAGCAACCCATATCGTAGATACTCGATTGCCAGATTCTTTTGCTCCAGGGGCCAACTATTCTCATTAGTGGAATGTAGAAATCTTCTAGATAACGTGACTTACCGGCCTCCTGATGGTTCAAGTCTAATTGTAAAGATGATGGGCAACTCCGACTGCAATCGAACAGCCGCGAGCTGCTCAGCGACATATGCAAGGGTTGGGATATCACTCGGTTGATCCTTTTCCTTCAACAAATCTACTCGGAGTTCCAGAGCGTCTGCACCAACCGAAACAATGGGCATGTTTGACAAAGAAACGCGGATGTCAGGGTAAGTGAGACCGATGTATGCTGAGCGCTGCTTGTTTTTGATTTGTGCCAGAGGATCGCTCTGGCCAATGACCAGGGCAAGAAACCGGGAAAAGCCTCTGCATGAGAACTTTGTGGGCCAGAAAAGATATTCATGGTCATATTCGAGATGGAGATTGGGTTCTGTCTTTCCGGCCGAGTCGAGGGACGCCACATTGATGATGAGAGAGGTTGGTCCAAGCCCCTGTAGTCGAGGAGAGCATTCACCTGATTGTACAGCCCTTTCTCGCTCGACAGCAAGAATGAATGGGTCTTTCCCGTCATGTTTTGTGATGTAACTGGCCTGGACGCGGTACCCAGTAATGCTGGCGGCTAGATCGACGACGAAGCCGAAGGACGCATCGTGAACGAGTATCAAACATTCCATGCTTGTTGAAGCCCCCTATCAATGATTGGAGGTATCATACACCGCCAAAGAGGCCCAGGTCTTAAATATGTGGATAAACATTTTAGCGTTCTTTGCCTATTTGAATATCCAGGCTTTGTTTGTTTGTTTGTTCGCAGTGGAGTACGGAGTAGAATACGTCGGCATTTCGAGAGTCCGCGAATCAGCGTAACGAATCTTTCCGCCAATGGGAAGATGTTAACATGACTGTTGTGAATCACAACTCCAAGAGAGGCCATCATTCACAACGGCAATGCACATTGTCAGCAAAGACTAATTTTAGCACTCGGAAGTCCATTGGGTTTTATATTCTAACAGGCGAATTCACATCAGCAGATGTACATTGAGGCTTCTCAAGATCAAAACGCAGTGACGTGTAGGACGAGTAGTCTTAAATTCAATATGGGCTGCAACCCCATAGGATGGATGGTGTGTACATATTCTCGTCCCGTGAGACCTATGAGGAAGAAGAAATAAACATGCGCATATTAGCGTCGAGACTCTCCAACTACACAATCAACCTCTATGTACTCTAAGAGCTGTGGCTGTCAGCAAACGACACGAGTAGTCTTCGGTTTATCTTACTGATTTTAGAAGCTCCTCATCCATTGACTCATAAGCCTGTGTGATCTGACTTTCGTTTACCGGCATCTCAGCGTAATGCTCATCGTCGAGTCGAAGATAGTCATCAAGACAAGTCGTCATCCCAGGAATGTAACACGTGTTTGACCAACTCTCGCTAGCCTCCGAAACTCTTGGTGTTGGAGACAAAGATCCACCAGTTCTTTGGAATGTATAGGGACTTCCCCGTAGACTGCTCAACTTCTCCGGTAGAGAGCCCAACGAGAAGAGGTCGTCTCGCCCATCGAGACTGTTTTGTGAGTATGGATAAAATTAGGGATCAGGTTATATCTCACCTTGCATCCATCCAGTCATTTGGCTGCGCAAAAGGAATATGGCTAGGATCAAACTCGCCCTTGGGATACCTTTTATAAAACTGTGTTAGATCCAAGTTTGTTGTGACCAAGGTGCCAGAGCAGTATTCTACAATCATCTCCGAGTGGCACTTGTACATCCTCCGCAACATTTCCAGCTTTTCAGTCAGTCATCAACTCACCAAGGGTCTGATTGATGCTCACCTGCGACTCTACCAGTGGGTTCTCGGCCAGCATTGTTATGAGCCGTTCGACAATAGCGACCAGATACTCAACACTTCCAGTGACGAAATCGTAGTACTTGGCGTGTATTAGCACCGTAGCTGCGGATGCGAGGCAAAACCTTTTGGGCCGTTAATATTGAGATCAAAATATATCGAACACAGTGAATGTGCATACGACGTGAAGAAGGGCCACGAGTACCCCTGCCCTGCCGCTTCATCGCACAACTCGGCCATTTTAATCGCATGTTCGACACATTTTCTTGAAGTCTCCTTCTGCCATGGATCTGATGTATAATCCGATCCGTTTTCCGCCATGATCAATGGAAGAAACTGTCGGTACAGGCGGATCAGAATGGCATGATATGAAAACCAGCTTAGACAAAGCCAGTTGACGTTCACGCTATTCGAATAGTCAAGAGTTTGAAATGAAATGGCTGCATCAGCTCGAATCTTCCAGGCGGTCAACTCCCCAACGAGCTTTGAGAGGATTGAGTTCTGATGCCACGGAAAATGGCTATCACCCTGAACACCGCCCATCTGAAGGTATCGGTTGGATTGGCCGAGGAGTCGCAGGATATCCGCAAATAGATGGTGAATTATTTGCCCTTGATCACTGTTTTGTATAGATGGCTGATGTAGCGTTGTAAATGTGCTGAGGACAGACTGGTCACTCGGTTGACTTGATCCTTGGATCCAGTCGTCGCTGATCATCATCGGCCGGTTTGACCCGCAAACGCTGAAACGGTCCATCGCATACAGTGCAAGGGTAAACTGCCGCGCCAGATCAACTTTCAAAAGGGATGATGCATGGTCAGAAATGGCTCGTCTTTGCAGCTCCATGCCTTGAGCCATGCGGATAGCCGTGCCAATCTTCATCCAAGCTGCAGGGCCTCGGCCAAGAGATATTAGACACACGGCTTGTAGAGTTAGGGTCTGCGCGGTTTCCATGGACACATCGCCCAGGTCGACGCATTTCTCGGAAAGTCTCAAATGATGCGCAGCCTGATCTGTCTTGCCTCCACCCTCAGCATCAGGAACATACCTGTTCACCATCAGACATGATCATGAGGATCGCTTGGAGTTCTCCTACCGTGCGGCCACGGCTACTAGAGCGTGAAGGAACTCATCTGAGACTTGGCCGTTCATCACATGGCTTCTTGTGGTCTCCTCGTCAAGGAACACATAGGGATTGCCATGAACACGAGAGAAAAATGCCGTCAAGGCCGCCCTACGAGTGGCTATACTGACTTGGAGCTTATTTCTCATTGGGGTGGAACATGATGAATCCAGCACTTTATCTGGTGACACGGCTTGAGGTAGGTCTTGGTTGTTCTCCCTACCTGGATCCATGGATTGCCGCTCCAGCGTATCCATGCGGCGCAGAAGATCCTTTACCAAATGGGAAGGAGATACGCGTTTCTTCGGGGTAGCGTCTAATCATTTGATGAGTACAACTTGAGACAAAGACTGTCAATTCAGGTCGATTACCGTAGATGCACTGAAAGCCATGCCTCTGGCATGTTTCACAAGAAGGGATACCTCGGGAGCATTTGGACTACAATCATGTCAACAAACTTCTTTCAAACCATATAAACCTATGGAAGCAGTCACTTTTCTCTTTCGACAAGAACGACAGCTCATTGGCGATACGATAGTCGGTCTTTGTCGTGCGATGGATGCGGGTGGTGGAGGCAGCCGCAAAGGGTCACCTTGATTAGACCCCGACATGATACATCATTCAAATCAGGATGAATTACGGCGAAGGGTTGCTTGAATAGTATCTCGGTCAATCGTAGACTAAAGAGGTGCGTCGTACATCTGAGAAATAAAGCACCATTGCTTTGAATTGACTGCATCCCCACAATTTCCCCGCGATCTGATGTTTGAGAGGGCAAAACACTTATCCATCCTCAGAACGATAGGGCCAGGAGTAAGTAGTTGCCAACCGCCATCGATAAGTATGGAGGGGAGGGTTTTATGGATCGAGGCATCGTTACGAGGAGATCAGACGCATACGGGGAGATGATGGTGACAAGTGACAACCAACTCATTGACAGCAGAGGAGAAAAACTACACATTAAACAATTAGAGAGATCGAGCAGGATCTAAGAGCAAAAAATACCTGTTTGGTCTTTAGGGCTATAACAGAAAGAAAGTAAAAAAACTCTACAATAGCCATTAAGCGGAGCTACGCTGTTAACTCAGTGATGCCTCTAAGAGAACCCATCAGTGATTATAAAGTCGAGCCGAGCCACCCTAGACCATTACGTATGTGTTCTGGAGTTAACCTCTCAGCACGGACCTGAATGCTAAACTACGATTGGAGGCGGTACAAGCCGAAACCCTACCTGATTCGTGACCCGCCTTGTAGCAAGACATGTGACCTCGCCCGCAACGTGAAATATAACGTAAAAAAAAACCAGCGCGAGTACGCGGTCTACGCGGTCAAGGAAAAACACAAGACACCAGTACAAAGACATAGGCCTTTGAGTCTCTCCTTAGCAAATAATATAAAAATAATAATAATAATAAAATAATATATAATACTTATAGGGTATACTTAGATATTATAATACTTTTTATTTTATTTTAATTTTTATTATTTATATAGTTATGGTACTATATGCTCATGGCGTTCTCAAGGCGCTATAGGTACTTTGCCCTCGATGGTGTTTTACTTTTTTTTCTTAGGCCGTTGTCTAGCTCCCTTGGCATTGGATGAGCGATTTCACACACTTGGCAACACTCTGAGCTTACGACACTTCTCGCTGGCATAATTCCTCTCGACTCCAGATGCTTTGGACCTTTCATCAATCTACCTACCTACACCAAGCTCATGATCTCTCCGCGCCATGAAGTCCCCTATTCCCGACTACCTCAACCGAGTGCTGGAAAACGCACGACCAATCGAAGATGGCAAGCCAGCCAGCTATATTGAGACGCTGGCCAAGGCCGACACGTCCAAAATCGCCGTGGCTCTTGCTATGGTAGATGGCAAACTGTACTCAGCTGGAGATGACCAAGTCGAGTTTTCCATTCAGTCCATCTCTAAATCCTTTGTCTACGCACTTGCAATTGAGGATGCGGGCTTGGATCGAGTTTTGGAAAAGATTGGCGTCGAGCCCTCGGGTGATGCCTTCAACAGTCTGTCCCTGGAGCGTGGCAGCAATCGACCCATGAATCCCATGATCAACGCTGGGGCGATTACGGCACATTCTCTTATCGTAGGACCCGATGCCACGCTTGAGCAGAGAACAGACCGCATATTGAAAGCCCTTTCGAGATTAGCAGGCCGCCAACTGCACGTGTGCGAGGAAGTTTACGAGGCCGAGATGAGAAATGCCGATCGCAACATGGGAATCGGCTACATGCTCAAGGCGGCAGGTATCATCACCGGTGACCCCCAAGAGGCCGTCAAAGGATACATTCGCCAATGTGCCATCAATGTCAACGTGCGAGATCTAGCCATGATGGCGGCAACACTCTGCAACGCCGGCATACACCCAGAGACTGGCGAAACCATCATTCCCCAGACGAGCGTCCGCCAGATTCTCTCCGTCATGACCACGTGTGGTATGTACGATGCCGCGGGAGACTGGGTGTCAAGAATTGGAATACCAGCGAAAAGCGGTGTGTCCGGGGGCATCATTGGGGCCCTGCCAGGTCAAATGGGCATCGCTGTCTTCTCGCCTAAGCTCGATGGGCGCGGCAATAGCGTTCGCGGTGTCGCCATTTGCGAGCAATTGTCCCGCGACATGGGCCTTCACATGATGGACGTGAGCCAGATCGCGCAGGCGACATTACGTACATCTGTGGCAACCATTGTGGCAGGCGAGAGCGAACCGCATCACGCAAACTGCAACAGGGAAGTCATCATCTTTAGCCTACGAGGTGTTGTTCGTTTTGCAGGCTCGGAGCGCCTGACCCGCGCCATCACACGCGAACTTGGTCAACCGAATCCAGAAGACCCTGGTTCTGGGCGTTCCCGCCATGCTTGCGCTATTGTCTTTTCATTCCGAGATGTCTTTTCATTCAATGCGGTGGCCCAGCGCATCATTCAGGCAGATGTCTACAGACTATTGCTTGATGGCAAGAGTGTGGTCATCATTGATCCCTCGGGGGTCTTGACCATAGACACTGAGCGCGCGGGGAAGAAGTTGAGAATTGTAGAGACAGAGACAGAAGCAAGGAATTTCATCGGAGGAACCGGTTGTCATACAGTAACCAAGACGGATGAATGGTAGTTCAAGGGGCATGATCGAGGCCAGCGGCGCCTTGAGAGTCAGGGTCAGCCCATGTTCAGGCGGCCACCGCGGGTCTTGTTGACATGCTAGAAAGATGCCAAGAGAACAATCGTAGGATCTTTTAGTGGACTTGGGAAGGAGTCTGAGAATGCAGAGGCTTATCCAGTATCGGTTGAAAATAGAAAGAATAAGAAATGTGCAGAGAGTCTTGCACTATTTGTCTCTGCCACTAAAAAAATCTTGATTGAACGGCTGTATTCTATAGCTGCCATCCGATGTCATGAGGCTGAGACTGTGTCGCGCGATGCTATCGTCAAATAGCCTGCGAGCCTTTGCTCAGGCACCTCGACGGGCTGGGTTATTTGATGGAACGGACGCCTAACGTCACTAAGTAAGATGAATACAATTGCATCAAATTAACTGATGGGTGACAGGGACTTCAGTCAAGTCGCGTCCGGTCAATGAAGTGCGGAGAAGGCCGGATCAGCGAATCAATCATAAAATTGGACTATGGGATTCCAAGGGGCCATGGACCAATGGCAACGCGTTGAAGCAACGTTCAGCGAAAGTAAGGGACATATCTCTTTGCTCGCTGGGAGACCTTTCTCCCTCAGCCACCGCTAAAACACTATCTAACAATCTAGAGTACTCAGTCGCATCAGGTTAATAGCTTATGCTCTTCTGGGTGGGCAGACGCGGCAGAGTCATAGATCGACTATCGTTGGCTTGGATCCCTGTTCAGACATTCAAACGAGAGGATAGAGACGCGTCCTATGCAAGTTCGCCTTGCGGATCACATCGGTGCCTGTGCAGATATGCAATTACCCTGCCCGCACGGAATAAATAGTCTTCACTTCTCTAAATAAAACACTCGAGGTACCCAATAACGTCGTGAAGTCCTCACAATCGGTCACTAGATATATATTTGATCATAGTGCTAATCAGTACTTAAAGCTTCAGCAAGATACCTAGGAACTATGACTCGTTACGGTCCTGCCTGGCAACTCTAGTAGTCCCCTACAAGGCCAAATATCCCATGTGCCTCTTCCCAACTCTCAAGAGTATCCAAGCACTTAGTTAACGAGAGATAAGTTGTAATCTACCGTACCAGAAGGCTAGAACGTGGAGTAAAATATAGAGGACCGGTACGACTTTACACGCGGCAGCGCAATAGATCCACCCTATGAAACATCATGGGTCCATCCTGTTCCCGGTTTTGATATTTCTTTGTACGAAGGCCACTTAAACGGCCCAGATTCTGGTTGCCAGACGGAAAATGAGGCACTTTCTTACGTCTGGGGGTCTACAAGTCATCCCGAAGTGGTTTCGATTCTGTGGACCGGCTTACTTTCGGAAAGGGATATGGTTGTAACTCTTGAAAGAGGGCGGAATCTGGCGTCCGCCTTAAGGCCTTAAGACTTCTCCAGTATCTAGACACACTATGGACCATCTGGATTGACGCAATGCGCGTGAATCAGAAAGACATACCTGAGCGCAATGAACAAGCACCACGGATGGGTCGCATCTACAAGTCTGCGCATCTAGTCGTTGTTTGGCTAGGCGAGGCTTCAGAGAAGAGCCGTCTTGCTTCTTCGATAATGACCTACCTTGAAAGTCAAGTTGAATTCAGCTTTGACTGGTTTTTCGGTCAAGTCCAGAAGCTCAACAGCCTAACTGGTACCTAATCAAAAAGCGAAGTACCATGTGACCAGGAAACCTGGTGTGCTATTGAAGAACTCTTGCAACTGCCGTGGTTTGATAGGCTGTGGGTGGTGCAAGAGATTGGCCTTGCAACAGGTTTACTATCCTCCAGTGCGGCAAGGACACATGCCCCTGGAGCTTGACTAGCCACGCTGTGATCTGCTTGGAAAGGAAGAATTTACCTTCCGCTACCTTGCAGAAAAGGCTAGGGGATGTCGCGACTCTAGCATCTGAGACGCAGTGGTCGGCCCAAAGTCTTCTTCTGATTCGAGGAGAGAACAAATGTCTCGATCGTCAAGATAAGCTATATGGAACGGTCAGCATCGCACGGGCTCGCTTGGTTGCTCTCATTCGCATAAATTGTGAACTAGCCCCAGCCGACACCTACAAGGATGCATTTCTTCGGGCTACAATGGATGTATCGAACCGATTGAGTTGGCTCAGGTTCTTATATTTCGACTCGCAAACGCCTGGGCTGCCTCCTGGGTACCTGATAGGGCCAGTTCGCCTTAAACTTAGGTCATAAGGCATCATCGTGCTGTTTTGCGAATGGCACCTCATCTGCATACTTTCAATATAAGCGCCCTAACTTGCTGCGGGTTGCTAGGTCAAAGTTGCAACGCTTTCCAACGTTAGCAAAACCATCACCGACCGTTTTCAACAGTTCGACTCATGCTGTTTGATTGGCTAGCCAACGTAACCGGGAAATAGGGCGTGCGTCACTGGAGAGTCTTTACTTGACGCAGGTATCTCAGCCACCACAATGGATATTTGCAAGGACGTGTTCTAGAACACGTTCCCGACTGGCCAGAAGTGGAAGGATTACCTTGCAGTAAATACATCTTTGTATGATAGAGAGACACAGTTGCAATGGTTGTGCAGATGGATGAATGGTATGTCATTCGTTAAAACAAGCGAGGGTCACATGGGTTTGAGCGTGTCTTGGGCAAGACCCGCTAACTGCAAGAAGAGTTGATCCTTGTCGGGCTAATTATTGGTTAGGAAACCTTGTCCTCGTGCTCCTAGGTTGCGAGTTTCCGGTGCTCTTGCGTCATGTACCAAACTCTGCGGATGAGGTTTTAGTCGTCGAGGACTGCTTCATTTATGGAAGTATGTTCGATGAAGCTCTTTTGGGCCCTCATCTAGCGCACAGCCGAATTGAAGTCGCCACTACCCCTACTTGACTCTAAACGCACGCTTTCGTGGATGAACGTTCCCCCGGCACTACGAAGAGCTCCATTCTGTGACACCAGGCTTGGTCCGACCCCTGAAGAATGGGAGACTATTCCCACCACTGCGTCAACATGAGATGACTTTATTTTGCGCGCGGGATTGAGAAACGAAATCATAGGATAGGAAATTGATTCAGATCTTAGCATGCTTCTAGGCACTTGAGAGGTAAGAGGAGTAGCACTCAATGTTTTTAGTCTTAAGTAATTATTGCTTGTTATTATGTCAATATTTTAGTTGTATTTGTTATACCCTTGTTGTGCTTGTTTTACATAGCGAGACTTTGACTCTTATTCGTGGTGCCTTGCGGGTCGATTTAATCTAGCCAACTACATCGGCCCAGCGATGTTACTGAAGCAAGTTGCGTTTCATTTATCTAGTTTTAAACATCGTGGACTTAGTTGGTGGCCTCTAACCTCTGCCGACTATTCTGCGCTAAGGAAAACACGTCTTGGCTTCCTAATCTTCATGCCTTTAGTACTTGAGTTATGCTTAACTTATGGAAAGCCCTTCTCGACATCTTACAACACATCCCGGTGGCCGGTTACAACAACAGCATGTGCATATACTTCATCAATGGTGACCATTGCTATGTTAGGAGTAAGCAATAGAGAGAAAGATCAAATATTCCAAACCACAAGTAGCTGACCACTGTGCATTTATTAGCTACTTGGCTGAAAGCTGAGAACTGGCAGCCTTGTATGACATTTACAACCACTTGTAGCTCTCAACGAGGCCACAGCCATCCAACTCGAAAGTGCACATGTCCGCGTTTCGACCTGTTTGTAGCTTTGAAAAGGACAAAACATAATTATGCGTTGGTATCCAGAGCCAAGAGACCCATCTTGGTTCCATGCCCACAAAGAGGTGACGGAGTCGGAAAATATATCTAGAGTCCGTAAGGAATGATCCGCCTACAACCAGTCACTCACGAGCAAATTTCAGATATTCAACTATCTCTCAAGACTTGGCGTAAAGACCAGCAATGCCTGGGAACTAAAACGTTGGATACGCATAGAAAAGTTTGCTTCTGATCATAATTTCTACCCCAAGATGTAGAGACACTATATGAGCAAACATATCTCTGTCATGGGTGAATGGGCAGCATGTTAGAAACTACTCTTACCATCGCATAATACCGAGCTCTTCTTTTATGAACCTTATCGCCAGCATTGACTATGCTTCACAGGTAAGGTAAGAGAATAGTTACATTCTACCCCGGTTCTCCACTTAGAGTAGACGTGGCTTGGAGTGATTCTTATCGATACCTCGTGAGTTCAGAACAGCTGATCAAACCATCCTGGGGTGCTGTAAGGTGGCTTTTGGCCTTTAACAATGATGGAATGATATTCCGCTGGAGTTCTCGTTCTCACCTCTTGAGTAGGTGAAGAAACCTCAATTTACGTAGTTGTGGCGTCGTGGTTGCGCGACGTAGCAACATGTCTTGGCCCCTGTGTTTCCCCAGCTGTCGACTTCTGGACATTGGGGTTTGGGGCCCGGTTTTGTCTAGTAGGGTGATCTCTCAGCACTAGGCTGCGGGGAGCCTTGAAGCACCTACAAAGGGCTGTAAAATGGTCGAGGGTGATGCCAGCACGGGTGTCGATGTCACTCTGTCCTTATGTTCTTGTCCGCCTGAACTTGGACGACGAGGAAGTTCTTTCAAATTCGTCATCCACATGAGGCAGCCACTAGACAACTATCGAGCTACCTCCTTGTATGGATACATCTTATTGTACTCAGGGGCTTAGACATGACGATTGTAGTTCAGCTGTCCAAGCTATCCATCGTTAGCCTTCATAGCAACTAGAACGGAGCTCAACTAATCAGTAGTTGTGAGGGCTCAAATACCCTCGATAATCATCCTTGTCCATTTTGTGCAACTACATACAATTTAATGTGAGCATCAACGCTCAAATAATAGGGATGTTTATTAATAACAAGGTTTCTAGAGGGCCTCCGTCGCCACCTCGAGTATGTAGGCGCAGATCTGGCGCGAATATCGCCATTTTAGATTTACATATGCCAGCCATCGCATATGAGAGGTGGCTAGAAGTGCATAACGCAAGTCTTGAAGTAAGTCAGGCACGACGTCTCAAAGTCCAAGATACGCTCATTCCCGGTTGTAATCCCTATTAAAGCCATATTTTTGTTTAAACCAAAGTTAATGTCCGCAACCCGGCAAGGAGTGTCAGGGCCTTCTTTGTCGCTTCAAACTTGCCTACCGGACTCGCTACGAAGGACTCTCGAGGGCGAGGAACGGGAGGGGAGTCAAGATAGAGAGTCACAACCACCTAAAGGAAATAGCGAGCCACACGAGATGAATGGACTCAAGGTTAGGTCTTAATGCCATCATGTGTTTATGAGTGTGATATTCAACGCCACTGTGTTAGTATTGGGATACGATGCTATGGTGTGTTGATTTTGTGTTTTGTGATATTATTGAAGCCTGGCCCTTGATGGGATAACTAAACCAGGAGCTCTTATGTTCATTGATCTTCTGCAAGATCAAGATGTCATTGAAAAGGAAGAATGAGACTCTACTCACCTACCGGCCCTCAATCTGTAGAGCACACAACAAACTGGTCAGCCCATAGTCTTCAGATCGGAAAAAGCCTGAGGAATGTTGAAAACCGACATCACTCTGTCGCACTTGGATGAAGTGGGCCACTACATAGATACTCATGAAAGGGCTCTCATTCAGCATCTGCTGTCTTGGCCATCAATGCCAACGTCGTGTTGAAAGTCCACTCATATTATAAAAGCCAAAAAAAGCTCCCTGTGCATCATTGCTTTCTACCTACATTTAAGCCCGTCGTTGTAGATAGGAATCAGGCATCTTCCTCCATCGCATTGACAAAATCGTGTTCTTCACGGCTGGAATCGAAAGAGCCTGGTGTTCCATCAAGTATGTGTAAATTAGTATCTCAGTGTTCGAAATGTGCAGCAAGTAGTCTATAAGCACAATGGCCGCTGCCTCAGGCACGCTCTTGAATCCGTGAAGATCGGCTCGTAGCCCTCCAGAGGCACATGAGGCTGAGTGTTTTTGGCCAACTTAGAGACGACAGTTATCTGTTACTTGGAGCCATATTGATCCCCCTCGCAGCTTGGCCCTAGGCCTGGTAATTCCCTATAACCACGTGTCGCCCAGGTGAGGAACGAGCATCCGACAATAACCCAAGGGAAAAACAATCAGTCCAGTGATGCGCAGGCCATTGAATTTTAGCCTATACAACAGGCTAAATGGCTACTCATGACTTGAAAGATAAATGACTAATGATTACATCCATTACACTAAGGAGCGGTGGCTGGCTGGTCGTATAGCCTAGTCCTGCCGATGAGTCACAGGCCGGGTTTATTTTTATCAAGATGCATTCATAAGTCCGCAGCAATCGCACTTCCTACATGAACACAATCGTCAAGACTCTCCTCGCAAGTAATTGGCAGGTCTATTAGAGATGCAGAGACTATTATCATCGCAAGAGACGCAGCCTAAAGCCTCTCCGACAACGATAAGGACCGCCTATATCCGCACGATACTGGACAGCGAAGTAAAGTACTATGAGCACGACTGGAGCAACTTGACGACCTGGCTTTGGTTCTGGGTTGGTCAAGAGGTCCCGAAGGATCCCTTTCAGAACGATGATCGCGGGCAAAGTCAATCTCCTCCAGACATTCATCACCATTACATTTTACTGCACCGCAATGCCGCAGATGCCTTCGTGTTGGAATGGCTACTGAGAAACTCTGAGCCAGAGGGCTGGAGGCTTGCCCGGGACAATTTTACGGTCTACCTATCGCGGAGACAAATGAATGAGCCGGCAAACAAGCTATTACTTCATCACCTTGGAAGTATGAGGGTTGCAGTAGAGGTTATCTAGTTGCCACAATCCACCGAATACGCCTCAGGTGACATCTGCGACACTGCCATGTTTTCTAAGAGCGATTACGTTCTCGAGACATCCCTTGTGCGAGGCGCAGGCTGCGCAACGACATTTGACACACTTTTCCGGAACTCAATGCGCCATGGTTGCCCTCAGCAGTACCGAACTGAGGAGAAGAGTAGCGCCTATTACGCAAATAGGCTAAAAGGCAGGATGGGTCATACACAGCGATATTGCGGATATCCCCATGGTAAAAGTGAGGCGTGGAAGCAAGAGCACGAGAAGGAATGGAAGAGCTATAAGTGTCCATCATGCGGAAAGCGATGTAAGCGAAGCAAGGGATGCAAATCAACGGGGGAGTTTTGGACAAAGGATGAGGGCACCTGGGTTGATATAGCTGTGGCATCTGCTGCGAGGCCACCAGAGTTCGAGAAAGAGTGGAGAGCACTGAGCGTTGAAGATGTCATTAACAATCACGGCCTGGACGCAACAGTGGCAGAGAGGTTAAAGCATTGGAAATGGAGGTCCATAGATACCTTCTCAGGGGATAAATAAGAGCACTAGGGAAAATACCAATAGCTACCTATTATCTAAGGCTAGTAAATATAATTTTAAGATGTAAGGTTTATATCTAGTTTATAATAACCTTTTATATAATAACTTAATAAAAGCCTTAATTTTAAATTATATTTATTTTTTAATTTTAATAAAAATAAAATAAAGATTATTTTATTTATAAATTATAATATAAAAAGGTTAAAATATTATATATTATAATAATAAAATTATTTAAAAAGAATTATAATTTAATATATTGTAATTAATAATTATATAATTAATTTCTTTTTTTAAATATTATATATATTTTATTACCTTTATAATATAATAGTTTTTATATCTTAGTTATAATTACCCTTATTTATAAAAGAGGCTATTAATTTAAGCTTAGCTAAAAACTTTTTATTTTATTTTATATAACTTTATAAAAAGTTCTATAAGCTAGGGACTAAACTTATTACTTATATATTAATTAAGGCCCTTAGCTATTATATTATTAATTATTAATATTTTTATTTTAATTATTATTAAAGTTATTAATTATTATTATAAGAGATTACTTAGCTAATGAACTTACTTAATAGCTAATTAACCTAATACCTAGCTATAATTTTACTAAGAAAATATATATAATAATAACCTAGCCCTAGTATATCACAACCATAACATATGCCAGGCAGGAAAGCATAGTAGAACTACCTAACTAAGCTAGGGACCAAGGGGACCAAGCCTCGCTCCTATTAGTCTAGGGACTAATAGTTAGAAATATCAGTCTTACCCTAGACTAATCCTTATAAATATTAATCTAAGTTAGATCCTTAAGTATATAAAATATATTTATTATATTTTCTTATATATTAGCTACCTTAGCTATTAATATAACTTAATTATACTTAATACCTTTAAGTATATTATTAGATATAACTTATATTACCCTTTAAGGCTATATAATATAATCTAATATTAATATAAACTAATATAACTAGTTTATCCCTTAGGAAATATCCTCTTATTATATATTAATAGCTCTTATTTATTAGATTATTTATATTACCTTAAATAATATTAAATATAATAGCTACCTAAGTAAATCTTATTAATAATTATTAATAGGTCCTACTTATTAATTACCTGCCTATACCTATTATACTTACCTTAGCTAATACTAAGGATAAGGATATAAATAATATAAATAGCTTAGACGACGAGGAAACTAAATAGCTCTAAGCCTAGATTATTATTATAAGTACTAAAATAAATAGACTCCGCGACCTTATCGAGAGAATAGGCTAGACTTAGCGCGAATAAAACGCATAATATCTAAATAATACCTAGAGATTTAATAATATTATTATCGCTATTATATAAGGAAAAGATATAAAAGAAATCCTAAAGCTAAACCCCCTAGAGAAATTTAATAGAATTACCTATAAACTACCTATATTCCTTATATAGCTATATATATTTATAACCTATTATCTTATGCTATTTATTATAGTATTTAGTAAGGTTTAATATACTATAAGATAACTTATTAAGTATATTATAGCCTAATTTAAACCTATTATATAGGAATATTATATTAAACTATTTATTAAACTGTCGCCGCGAGCTATAAGCCTCTACTTAAGCTTTAAAGTCTTTAAGGCTATATTTTAATAAGCCTTTAAGATAATTAATAAGAAGGCATAGGCTAAGAGAAAAATTAAAATATTATAATAAACCTATTTCGTATCTAACTATAAAATAAGGTATCTTTAGCTTACCTTAAAGCTTAATTAGGACTAAGAACCCTTAATATCTTTCTTTTTTAATAGACTTAAAAAGAAAGTTTAAGCTAAACTCTATAAAAAAGATTAACCTAATAATCTTATTAATTATATTAATAAGGCTATTAAGATTAATAACTAATAATTCTCTTAGAAGAAATTATAAAACCCTAGGTTTAATAGTAATAAGGCTAATACCCCCTGCTTTAATATTAATTAAGGTAAGAAGTAATAAAGCATATTATATAGTATTAACCCTAGACCTATAGAACTAAGAGCTACCTAATAGACCCCTAAGGATACTAAATATTATTATTACTATAAGAAAGGTTATAAGGCTAATAAATACTAAAAGAAGTAGCGAGATATATAAGAAGGATATTATTAGCCCCGCTAATAATAATAACTCCTAGAGGGGAGGAAATAAGTAAGGTTTATATAAGCTAATAATAACCCTTAAATAGCTATTTAAACTACTAAGACTCTTAGAATAGCCTAAATTAGCTATAATAAGAGAGGCGCCTACCTAAGAGAAATTAATATACTATATATATATAAATATACCTAATAAAAAAATAAGCTAAATATAATATTAGTTATAGAAACTATAGTATAGACCGATTATATAAAGCTACTAAACTAACTAAGATAAAATAAATTTACCTTATAAATAGTTTATAATAGAGACTACTCTTAGAACTTAGTAATAAACTAATTAAAGATCTTAATACTAAAATAATTATAGTAATATAATAAACTAAGTAATACTATAATAACCCTAGTTATAATATTAGAGCTAAAGCCTAATAATAACTTACTATAGCTTAGATCTATAATTAGTATAACTAAAAGAAGGTTAATAACCTATAAAAGGAAGAATATTACCTATAACTTTATAATAAATAAGGTAACTAATATTAAAATATATTAGAGGAATAATATATCTAAATTATATAAGAATATATAAATACTATAGATACCTAGGATATTTATATCTATATATATTACTAAGTAGCGGCTAAAGACCTTAGCTACCTTAAAGTATTATTTAGAGTATAAGATAATATATAAATATACCTAATATATAAGGAATACCTTAGTATCTCTTAGATATTATATTAATATTATTATATAAAGAATATAAGGAGAAAAAATAGGAATAAGATTACTTCTTAATTCTCTTATTATATTAACTAAATAATAAATTATACCTCTAGTATAAGACTAAAGGATATAAGGTTCGCTATTAAAATAAATCTATTAATATTATTACTATATAGTATAGCGAGGAATTATATTATATAATATAAAGATATAAGGAGATTAAAAATACGGTTAGAAAATAATAAGAATAAATCCTTAAAATAACCTAAGAGGACTTAAGACCCTCTATAATAATATAAGTAAAAGAAGATACCTTAGATATAAAGGATATCCCTATCTAAGCCTATTATAAAAAAATTATTATAAACTTATAATAGAAACTATGCTATAATATATAGGATAATAAATATACCTAATCTATATACCTATTATATGCCCTAGTTATATAGGTTCCCTATATAATAGATCTAGCGCTATAATAATTAAATCTAATAGCTATTAATTAAAAAGAATTAACTTAGATTAGATTACTTATATTATGCCTTTTTTATTCTTTATACTTTATAAATTATATAACTTTAATTAAATAGCTATTAGAACTAATTATTTTATTATTACTTTTAGCGATACCTCTATCCCTTATTAGAGCTAAGGGATCTATAATAT